AATGCTTGTGTTTTTAAATAGTTTATTTAGTGAAAAAGAAGGCTGAAAAGTTGCCCTTTTCTGAACTTTGAAGGGCCGTAACTTTTTAAATAAGGGAGAGCGCCGCTTTTTTCTTTCGGATTCGTAATCTACGCATCAAAATACGTAAGTACAGTCAAACATTTTTTCAAAATCGCCGGGTGTCCACATAACGAAAATTTACCAAAATCTGTTAACACTATTTTAGATAATGAAAGTCTGAGCTTGTAATATTCACCAAAACACATTGCCAACCACATTCAGAAAAACCTTTTATCAACCACTCATCGGTCAGTTTTCTTACTACGAATTTAATTTTGCTTTGCAGCGGACCTTTATAAAAACTCATTGTTACCAACCTTTTTCTTCGTTGCTGAGGATCGGCAGCGAGGGATGAACCGCGGCCTCTTCCACTTCGCACTCCGGGTCAAACTGACTTTGAGAAGCCGCTGGTTCTTGTTCTGGTTTCTTGTTGAAGACGAACTTCTGGCCTGCCGAAACGTGCTCCCTGCACACGTTGTACCTTATCGGGTTTCCTACGAGCTCATCCGAAGGCTCTTGAGAAACGGAATCTTCTGCATTGGCTGTTCGGGGCGGTAAATGGATCACGTCTAATTTGGTGGTCAGAAACCTAACGTGCTCTTTCAGTACGGAAAATGGGAATTTAGACGGCAAGTTTCGCGACATTTTGGTGGAGTTTCTCGAGTGGATTTGCTTGACGTTGACGTTTGTCGGAAGGATTCTTGATTTTTGAAGATGAGATGTGTTTGGGGCAGGGTTGGCTCAAGCTACTTAGTCCGGCCGTACACGGACCACATATTTGCAGTTGAGGCAACCACAACATTGTGGCCACGTTGACTGCACTTCGCGGTTGACCCAACCACATTTTTGTGGTCGACTTGCGGTTATATAAACCCCACTTGCAGTTGAGACAACTGACATCAAAAATTGAATGCTGTGAGACCAATATGAGAAGAAGTACACCACGGTGTACGCGGTTGGGTACGACTGCAAGGTTGTGGTTAGTGTACGGCGGATGCCGTGATGACATCTCGGCGGAGATCAGCAGCACATTGACTGCAGAAGCCCGATTTGACTTTTTTAAACGCCCGTGTGCTGATCAAGCGTCTTCAGTTCAAACAGGATGGAGCCCAGCTCCCTTACCCTTTTAGTTGATTGTTGTCAAGAAAAGACAGATGGGGTCATGACAGAGGATGTTGGCGGCATGAAGTCCTCAGACATCAGTGCCGCCCTACACGGGCGTTCACAAAAGTCAAAACGGGCTTCTGCAGTCAACTTGCTGCTGATCTCCGCCGAGATGTCATCGCGGCATCCGCCGTACACTAACCACAAACTTGCAGTCGCACCCAACACAACATTCAATTTTTGATGTCAGTTGCCTCAACTGCAAGTGCGGTTTTGGGTCAACCGCGAACCAATGTTGTGGTTGCCTCAACTGCAAATATGTAGTCCGTGTACGGCCGGACTTACTTGAAGGCAATGGAAAGAACCTGTGAAAATTAATTTGGAACTCCTGTACAAAGAATGTAAACTTTCACAGCCGGAGATACCTGCGTGAAAGATATTTTCCGGTATTTTTTTGTGAATACTTATTCAATTATTTCGAAATATGTGCCATTTGAATCAATGCACTTCTCTCAACGTAACACAAGTCGATTGATTCCGACAACATAAAAATTGGGTACTCGGAATTCGAAGAAGTCGACGAAGGCCGTTTAAGAAATAAACTCACCGCAGGCGTTGACAATGTTCCTAGTCTTGTGATAAAGGACTGTATCGACGTTCTCTCTATACCTCTAATAGGCATATTCAACTTGATTTTAACAACTTGTGCCTTCCCTGAGCAGTGGAAAACTGCTCGAATTTGTCCGATATTGAAAAAAGCGACTGTAGCGATATCACAAACTACAGGGCAATTTCAATTTTATGTAACTTTTCTGAACTCTTCGATATGGGTATGCAAAATGTTATGTACTCCCATATTCAAAAAGTTATTTCTCCTACTCAGCATGGTTTCGTACAACAACAATCATGTATGACAAATCTTGCACCTTTAAATCAATATCTCTGTATGCACCTGGACAAGCAAAAACAAGTCGAAGTTGTTTATTTAGACTTTCGAAAAGCCTTCGATCAAATCGACCATTATGTTCTTCTCAGCAAATAGACAAAATTGGGACTCTCTAACCAACTGCTTACTCTAATTGAATCATATCAAGTTAACAGAAAACCATTCGTCGAGTATGAATCTTTCAAATCGGCTCAGCACATAATCACATCTGGGGTACTACAAGGTTCTAATCTTGGACCTCTTTTATTTTTAATTTTTATCAATGACTCGGCAACCTCTTTGAATATTCCTAGCCTACTATATTATAAAATCGACGACATGACTGACTGCCATCGTGAACAACATGAATTAGATGTAATCAAACTTTGGTGTAATAATAATCGTCTACAACTGAACGTATCCAAATGTAAAATAATATCATTTACAACAAAAAAGCAAACTTTAATGTACGACTGTTCAATCAACAATACAACAATCAACCGCGTCCAATGAGATAAAAGATCTTGGTATAACATACGACAGTAAATTAACATTTACAACACATATAAGGAATATGACTGCTAATACAAATAGGATGCTTGGATTCATTTACAGAAATGGCAAAAACTTCAAAAGTATTGCCACCTTAAAATTGCAATATTTTGCGTATGCCAGATCTAAGTTACAGTATGGCTCTGTGTTATGGAATCCAGTTTACGACTACCAAAAAACATCAATTTAGAGCGTGCAGAGGAAGTTCCTAAACGACGGACTGTGGCTGCTCATCGTTTCGAGGTTCAACTCAGTACACCTCGAACTTCATTGTTTAAAAACTCTTTTATTTAGAGAACTGCGTTTATGCAGAATAAACTTTCCGACAGCGTTTTTCTGAATGAATGTAATATCCAGCGATTCAAATCTAACGTGAGTCGCTACTTTCGCACAGGCACCGCTCTTAGAGGATTTGAGGATTTTTCTGTAGTACTTGTCTTTTGTCTTAAAAAAAGACCTGTCAAATATAATCAATATTCATCGTGGTATTAGTCATTGTTTTCAGTGGTTTTTTCTGACAAGAATTTACCAGAACCTAGTGTATATGTATGTTGAATGTGATTCATTAATAATAATAATAATAATAATAAATGGGCTTTATTCATTGACATACATTGTTTATAAAGAAGCAGTAGATACAAAAATCAATGAAAGGGCGAAGTTCAGCCGAGGCTCTTTTACAACTTGATAATAATAATAACTTTATTCACAACGTATACGGATTAGAGTACAAGTAAAAAAAAATATGTATGGCCTTCATGGAGTAGAAACTACAAAATATTTTATTGAATTTTGTGAATTTGGTGTTATAGTTAAGCAAATTATATTTCGGCTTGAGGTAAAATAGGCCGATTAAATACTAGACAAACTATGCTACTTACAATACAGCATGATACAACTTTGGGATAAATTTGACTAAGACTAACTTAGTTCACTCTAACAGATTTTTTTTAAATTGTTCATCTTTTTCGAGACTGTGTTTTCTTATTTGTTTTTTCAATATTGGTTTGGAATAAGAATTTTTTATTTTGTGAACTACGGTGTTATATAATTTAGTTGTCATGAAAGAATATGCTCTTTGTGAAATTGACATTTCAACAGTAGGATAGGTTAGTTGGTCGCGATGTCGTGTGTTATAGTTGTGGTTTCGTGATGATGCTTTATTTTTGCTGAAATGATACTTCACATTTGTACAATAGTAATATAATTGTCTAATATCCATAACTTCACACTCTTTATACAGGAGATCTGACGAGAAACGTGAATTTCTAGACATGATCAACTTCATGAATCTCCTTTGTAATACCTCTAACGGATTGAGGTGTACACGCAGAGCTGATCCCCATGCTGTTATACCATTTCTCAAATGGCTCTCTACTAGGGAACTATATAATTGATTAGGTTCTTTGTGAGGTAAGTAAGTTTTCAAGAAACGGAAGTTGTGAAGCATTGTTTGCAGTTTTTCATTGTATATTTTATATGAGAGTCCCACCTTAAGTTTCTATCTATGTAGACGTCCAAGTATTTGATTTCTCTCAGGGATTCTTTTTTATTGTTTTTCCTTGTTCGCAATCATTGAATAGATTGCAGCTAAAAGGAAGAAAATTAGTTGTTTCTAAATTCACTGTCAGGAGCCTTTGGTCAAACCATTTTTTGAGCAAGTGGAAATCTGTTTCTACGTTCTTTTTCAAATCAAGCCAAGTGTCTGCCTCATAGAATATCGCAGTATCGTCTGCGTATCCAATTATTTTCCCAACGCTGTCCAAATTGAATAATTCATTTAGATATAAATTGAAAAGCAGAGGACCCAGTACCGTACCTTGTGGGACTCCTCATTCTATTTGTTTTTGATTGCTAATTGTATCTGCACAACTTGCATTCTATTTCGAAGATAACTTTCAAAAAGCGTTTGGTAGTTCCTTCTGATACCATTATTTTCTAAAGTTTGTAGGAGTAATTGATGATCGACAGTATCGAAAGCCTTCGTTAGGTCTATAAATAGACATGAAAAAGGTTTTCCTTTCTAAAAGGATTCTGTCAGTTCAAGAATCGCGTCTTCGGTTGAGGTTTTTTCTTTGAAGCCAAATTGTCTATCTGAAATCAATTCGTATTTGGTTATAAATGAGTTTATTTTTTTCTTTAGCAATTTTTCGAAATTTTTTGACAGATGGGTGATAAGCGAGATTGGTCTATAATTTGTGATTTCAGTTTTATCTCCTTTTTTATGGATAGGAGTCACTGTACTGTAGTTTTGAATGAGTCGGGCCATACACCAAGTAATATACATTTATTAATAATAAAAACTAAAGGATCTAGTATATAATGTGATATTTATTTTAGCAGTTCTGGTTTAATTTCGCTTTTCCCTACCGCCTTTTTGTTTTTAAGGTCGCAGATTAAAGCGTTTACTTCATTTTTATCAGTTAGGCTTAAGACAAAAGAGTTTGGTAAAATGTTTGGATGAAAAACGAGGTTATTATTTTTGATTATTTTATTTGACAATTTCTTTCCAATATCTACGAAATTATCGTTGTATTCATTGGCTATGTCTCTGTTGTTTGTTAGGAGTACTCCCTGATCATTTTTTATTGGTCCAATTGTGGTTGATTTAGGTTTAGTGCCGGTGATTTCTTTCACAATATTCCATAGTTGTTTGGTATCTTGTTTTTTGTATTCAATTTAGTTCTTATAATAATTTTGCTTGGTGGTTTTTATCAAATTGGTGACTTTGTTTCTCAAACTTTTGTAGTGATTAAGTTATTCAGTGCTATATTTGGATCTTGGATCAGGTATACGTTTTCCCAATTTATGTCTTCTAACTTTTTGTATAATTTCTTATAATTTATGTATGGAATATATTTGCTGTTAGATTCTTTGTTATGTGTGCTTTTTGTAACTATTTGTAGTATTGTCGTTGAGTGGTCTGTTATATTTGTTTTCACTATGAGGGGTATAATCGTATCTATTATATTTAATTTTGATTTAATAAAAATATGGTCGAGACATGAGTTTACTCTTGTTGAGTATTCAAATATTCAAATTTATTTTCATCATCTTTAAGAAGATTTATATTCATATCGCCAATGAACGTATAAGTAACTTTCTGTTTCGGTTTGATTATTTTCA